GGCAATTTTTATTTTCTTCTGTATGAAATAGATGCAGAGTCATTTTTCATTGCGGCAAGAGCTAGAGGAGCCCAGGGCAGGCCAGTGATTTTCATTCATTGTTCTCCTCATGTCTAGTAGAGATAAATGAAGACAGTCTTGGATTATCATCACCTTCAAACTACTTTTAAAGTTTAGGGTAGAGAAGTGCAATGTGTTTACCCCTCTTTTCAGGAAGCATAGCTCTTACTCTTTGCACTTATACATTCCACAGTGGGAAAGCAGAACTTCCTCAGAATTTTAGATTTGATTCAGACTGATCGTACTGCAAGTGGAGGAAAGGAATGCAATGGGGGTTCTTCACTGTGGAAAGCAGAAGGAAACCATCTCTCTTGGTTCCCCTTGACCTCTGGGATGCTCCAGGATTCCACAACAATAATTCTGAAGGCAGAGCAGGGGAATCATGAAGAACACATCTGCATATAACTACTCTATCATCTATTATGAGCATGTCAATTAATAATCTTCTTGGTCCAATCTTTCAAATATATTGCCTCACAATAATGATTGTATAAGAGAAATTCTTACCAGGCCCTTTGACTGAAAACATCTGTTATATTTTAAGTGGCCCTTCTCTTCTTTCGTCAGACTTCTCCTTGGTTTCTAACTTTAAAATGTGGTATAGTATTTTTATCTAAGAATAGTTGGTTATTGCATTTAAGTTTATATAGTTTTCTTCCCTTCTGATTAATTTTGGACATCTTTTTGATGAAAACATGAATAAGAAAACATCTTCAGAAAAGTTAATTTTTTGAATAAGGAAAAGAAAACATACAAACTCCAGGATTATCTGGAGAGAGAAGTGATAAAACATAATCCATTATTCACTAAATAAATGGGGAGGGGGGAAATGGATGTGAATTGCACTGATATTCTTATGCAGTACTTTCAGTTCAGTCCCTCTGCTGCTAAAAGTTGCCCCTGAAAAATAGTTTAAATATTTGCTCTTTTTTTAAATTCCTCTGGGAAATAGATGGGAGTTTACGCAGGCAAGAATTTATAGCTCTGCAGTCTCACAAGATTATAATTTATTTCACAGATGACAAACTCTTGGCCTGCCATAGTTATTGCTGCCTGTAAATCCCTCAAAGTACTTTTGTCCTTGTTTGGTTGATCTGACCTCAGTCAGCATCACTGCATTTCTTATCAAGGACCACTTAACGCCTATTCAGTTGGAAGAAACTTTTAAAGTGTTTATCATTGCACATAGTACTTGCTGATCTGAACCTAAATATTTAAGCTAAACCAAGTTCTGTGGGTTTTTTTTTACAGTGGGTCTTTTTGCTCCAGACTTATCTCCACCCATCAAACGACAGCTGGTTTACTGAAGTGATACTATTCAAAATAACAATGAGAAAAGGCCGAACAAAATTGTATCCAGTAAATTTATAAAATAATTGCAATTGAACTGTATTAGCTTAATTTGTGATGGTCTTCACTTATGGCTAGAGGGTTTGGTTTGTATGATGAGTGGTCTGGAAGCATAACCAACAGCTATTTACTTTGGATCTACAGAACTTTTACTACAGATATTACAAGTCATCAGGAAAGCCTCTTGCTAGTGGTCTGACATGTATTGCTTGCTGGGGTAGTGTGATCCTCAGCTTTTTATTCATCCACCAAACAAAAATAACATCAGCTCTGTGTATAATTAATGCAGTTAAATCTAACAGAGGCACCCATGTGGCAAAACAAGTTTGGTAAACCCAAAACACAATTACAGACCATTAGATAAAAGAAAACAAGATGCCACTCCTAAAAACTCTTATTAGAAACATAGAAGACACACCTGCACCCGCAGGAGAGCTCTCTTAGCCCCCTAGTCCCAGTGACTGCATGAACAGGTCAGCAGGATTGGATTTTTGACTGTCTGTATCATGGGGGAAGAAGCATCATGAAAGGGAAGATAGCTTTGAAGTGTTGCTGCTTCACTGATGGGGCCAAGATTATGCGTATTCTGCCAGATCTGGTGGGATGGGCAGAAACCACTGGGGAGAGGTGATCCCATACATAACTTGTTCCCATGCCATGTACGGTTTGAACAACTGTGAACCCCTTGAATTGCACTTGGAAGTCTACTGGGAGCCATCCGAGTGCAGTTTAATATAGATATACTGTGGGGCACCCAATACCATCTGTGCCACTGCATTTTGGACCAGCTGCATCTTCTGAATGCTCTTCAGGGACAATCTTGTGTAAAGCCAATTGCGGTAATCCAAATTGGAGGTGACAAAGGCGTGAGTGACTGTGAGTAATGCTTCCCAATCTAGGAACAGGAACAACTGGTGCACAAGATGTAATTGTGCAAAGGTTGTCCTGGTCATGGCTGCCATCTGCTTCTCAAGAGGGACCTGAAAATGCAGGCATATCCTCAAATTGCACACCAATTCTGTCTGTCTGGAAGTCTATCATCTCATTCAGAATCAATGAGCCCAGGGTATAATGGAGTATCATAAGGATACTGATTTTTGACCCCAAGCTGGTAAATGATCTTGCCCAAAGTTTTCATGTATATGTTAAATAGGAACGGGGAAAGAGTTAAGTTCTATGGAACTCTGCAACAATGAGCTAGGGGACTAGATTTCCAAACCAATTATTTGTGCAATGAAGATTTATAAACTAGTATATATGAACAGTTATGAACACCATTGAATGACCTGCTTCGCTTGCACCTTTAAGTATGATGCTATTCCCTATTAATTCTCTATGTTAATAAAAATAAAAAATAAAAATCAGTTCATGAGTTCAGCTGTTTACAAAGTGGCAATGCTTTCTGCTTGTCCACTGAGAAAACTTCTGATTTAACTAAGGGAAAAAATGAAATTGTAACACATAGATGTACTTCTGAGGTGAATATGGAATCTCTTTCTTAATAATGGTAAGATGACCAATGCCTCTTGCATGCAATTATTATAGCTGACTTAGCATGAGGAAATGAAAGGAACATCAACACTGGAGTGTACACATTGGTATATCATGCTTTCCTGACTGGGCATTAGAACATTCCTCTTGCTGCACTCTGTCTCCAACCCAATCCCAAGCTAACAGCGACTAATTTTATAGGGACCAGTTTTATATGTCCACATACTAGGGCGGTAACAAAAACAGAACTAACTGATCAAGGAATGAGATTCCAGAGAGTGATAAATATGAGGCTGTAGGCTGTGTGGCTTAAATGGTTTAAATTACAAGGCGACAGTCGTCACCCATTAAAATGTTCATGCTTTGAGGTCATCTATTTACCATAGATGTTTTTTATAAACCAGGTATTTAAAAAAAAGTCCTGCAGAATATATCAGGAAAAAAAAAAACACGTACTATTGTAGTTTCTTTAGTTTCTGAAACATTTATTCCAAATAATATATTTAATCTGGTATTAAATTAGCTTTTCCTTTTTAGCAATATTATTTTATTCTTTTTTGAGACAAGTTACAGTAACATAAAGTTTTGTACAAAAGGTGTGCACACATACAATTCTACATACACCACACACATATACATACCCCATCTTCAAAGTAAGTAATGTCAGTATCAAATTAATTCTTACAGTTTAGATTTTTTAAAAATCAGACTTTCTTCATTTTTTTGGACCATTAGTCTAAGATACTGGTGTGTGTGCCTGATTTTGTGAATATTGAATGCATTGAGAAAGTTATAAAAATAGCATTCCTCTTTCCCTAAATTTGAACTGTAAATGGTTTGATTGAACCAGTTCTTAACATTTGTTTAGCTGTGAAAATGTAGTAATAAGCAAGTGCTTGTATACATGTGACTCTTATATAGTATGGTTTTGAAGCATAATTAACTGTGATAAAGATCTTACATTTTAGTATGCTAACAGCAGTGAAATACATAATACTAAATGATTCAGATGGTATGATGTCACAAATATTCCAACTGGTAGAAAAATAAAGGTTTCACACCTATAGGGAGTGAAACGTTATTGTCACATAACGTATTGTGACTTTTTCCCCCTTTGCTAAAATGGCCAGCATGTGATACATCTGGGCCACGGGCTGCGAGTTTGACACACCCACACTAGTATATAAAATGTGAGCAAACCCTGTTCCCTACTAGTACTCGTGAAGTTACCCTAGTTTGGTGATGAAGTGCCTGCAAATAAACAAGCTCAGCAAACACCAAGGACCCCACAAATAAAGGGTGTCCACATAATGCACATTCAAGTACATATATGTTTCATATGTGATTTGAACCAACAACCTATTTTTGTTCCATTAACCTTCACTTAACTTATCGAAATCTCTCCAATTCTCAACTGATGGATCAATCATGAAAGGTGCCCCAAAAAAGACTGTTTCAGAAATTTGCACAAGGCCAAACTATAAATGCCCAGACATTGTGAAAACAAAACAAATAAAAGCAAATTACTCTTATTATTGGATAGGTTAGAAAATGTGCTAATTAAATGAGGATATGCTAAGTGTTTGTAATATTTTAATAGCCAAAAGAATCCTTTAAGAGAATGGGTTTATGCAATTCTTTCCACTAGGAGGCAGTGTCTCCAACTGACAGGAATTTGAAATAGGAGTGATTAAAAAATTGGAGACAATCCAAAATTGATGTAGCTAAATATGAAGGAGGGTTTATGGGAGACACTAGCTTATATGCAAGGACAAATGCCAGGATACAGAAAGTCACAATTCAGGAGGTAGATTTGGAAAAAGCCATGAAGGAAAAGCCATGTAGAAAACAATGCAAAATTTTATATAAGTAATATATTATATAAATGATATATAGTATATAATAGACTGATATACCACTTGACAGTGCTTTACAACCCTCTCTAAGCGGTTTGCAGAGTCAGCATATTACCCCCAACAATCTGGATCCTCATTTTACCGACCTCGGAAGGATGGAAGGCTGAGTCAACCTTGAGCTTGATGAGATTTGAACTGCCAAATTGCAGTCAGTAGCAGTCATCAGAAGTAGCTTGCAGTACTGCACTCTAACCACTGCCCCATCATGGCTCTTAGTATAGCAATATAAAAATATGAGATAGCTGTGAATTAAGAAATGGGAAGTTGTTTTTAAAAGGGAGTGAAAATATTTTGTGCCAGATGGCTCCTATTCATATGGGGTTGGCAAGCCTCAGGTTTTGAAAAAAGTTTTTATTTTAAGCCTTTCCTCTCAAGAAATGTTTAATTATGAGAAGTATTAACTTTGAAAACCATGGAGTACGTAGTTAAAAGGCATAGTATAACTGGGACGGGAAGGAACTTCAGTTAGATAGCCCACTTAGTCCCACTGTTCAAGCAGCTCCAAGATTGTTTTTTTTTCTATGCTTAATTACAGTGGATGCTCCCTTTCAAAGCTGTCTAGTACTGCAGAATAGAAAAGGCTATGATATGGTCTCATTTTTATATATAAGTTGATCCTCCACATCAATAGTGCATTTTAATGTACAATAAAATCCTATTCTTCCAACAAGCAGCCTCAGCAAAGATTAACATTCTCATTCTCCATGTGGTCTGAGTCTTCCAACTCAATCCCGGGAACAAGGTTGTAATAATCTACTGATTTGTTCATGTAGAGCCTCTCACGGTCTGCTGAATCTCTCAGAACATCTGTTACACTCAATGTCTCTGCTTCAAGTTCTCCATTGATTGCCTCTTCCTCTTCAGTGGCCGGCTTTGTTGTTCCCAACTTTTCTTGGTCAAGATTTCTAAATGTTAAGGAATCATCAGAAGCTCCCGGTTTAATCTCCACCTCCTCATAAAGGTCTCTGCTGCTCTCCAATAGTGCAGTTGAAGGTTTAAGCAAAATTTGGTTTCTCAACAAGTTGTTTTCACTCCCTGCAGCACCATGAACAGCCAGAACAGGTGGAAGAGAGCACTGAAGATCATCAGATCTATGGGTTCCATTCTTCTCCACTGTAGCCAACTGGCATTCCTTTCTATCATGAAGAGCATAGCCTGTCTTTCTCTTTGTCTTCTTTTTGTGCTTGCAAAAGTAGCAGGTGACCAAGACAAGAACAGCAACCAGAGGTAAGCAAATAAACAGAGCTGTGAGCCTATGAGTCTGGCACAATTCTGCCTTAGAAATGTTTTTGATATTTATGCCATGGTAGGGTTCAGGGGTTTGACAAACAATGTCAAATGAATTCAGGATATATTTTCCTAGATGTTCAAGAAAGTTGCAAGTGCAATCCCAACTGTTGTGAGAGAGACCAAGTTTGAGGAGGGAAGGTTTGAAAATCCCAGAAGGAAGGGAAGATAAGTTATTGAAATCAAGGTAGATCTCCTGAATGTGGTTAGATGCTTCCAGAAATGACTCAGATAAATTCTGGAGTTGATTGTTCTCCAAGTGAATAACACGCAGGCTGGGTGCATGTCTCAGGAAATTATCTGGAAGATAATTTAATTTATTATGGTCCAAGTACAGAATTTCCAGGCTAAAAGAATCAACACTTACATTCTTAATATGTGATATATCACAGTTTGATAGATGCAGCTCTTTCAACCCTATGGTTTCAGCAAAGATGCTCCAGTCCAAAGTATCGATTTTAGTCCTTGTGAAATTCAAACAACATATCTCAGGAACTGATTTAGTCCTAAATTTCTGGAAACTGATATCTGTGCTGCAGTTGCAGGTCTTTTCCATTGCTCCAAATGTAAATTTGGTTGCTAATAGCATCCCACCAAAAAGTATAACTGTCCATTTCTTCTGATCTAAATAAAAAAGATGGCAATTATTAGACATTTTGCACAGATTTGCATTATGAACCGCAATTAAAAATCAACTCTTTCTGCCGTTAACTCACAGATTCAATAAACAATGATCGGTCAAACTTGGCTGATTCTTCCATTCCACTGTACCACACTCCATCACTTTTTGTCTCAAGCTGAACAAAGCAGGTCCCCCAGCTTTTAAAAGTGGCTTTCATCACAATGGAAGTATCAGAAGTCAGATAATTTAAAAAAAAAATTTTTTTCAAATATGACAAGGATATATTTTCATTATAACCAGAATTTGTACTACGGTATACTGTAGTGTGTCTACAAAGTAAAATGTTTTAAAATGGTTGCTTGTCACTCTCTGGGAAAAGCTAGCAGCATCATAAAACACTATGAGGCTATTCTGTTTACATGATTGCTAATATGATTGTCTGTTTCCTAGTATGATTTGATTGCTATTGTACCCTATGACTACCAAGTGTCGTACCTTATGATTCTAGACTCTTCATGAATGTATCTTTTCTTTTATGTATACTGAGAGTATTTACACCAAGACAAATTCCTTGTGTGTCCAATCACACTTGTCCAATAAAGTATTCCATCCATCCATCCACCAACCCACCCACCCTCCATCCATCCATCCATCCATCCATCCATCCATCCATCCATCCATCC